ATAATTTATTAACGAACCAATCAGATATAAGATAACAGATCTTGAATTTTGGCGCGAAATTCATTCAACAATTTGGCTTAATAGCGTCTTAGCAATTTAACTCATATCGGTTTGTGATGAAAACCCTAAATCGAATTGCTAACGCTAACCATAAACTGTAAATGTTAATCCCAATTCGTTATACTGGTTTGTAACCTTTATTTGGTTGCGGCATATAGATGGACACTCTCAAGGTCATTTTAGCGTCGTTCAAAGATCGTCCTAATTATTTATTTATTTATTTATTTATTGAAACACATAAACATTGGTAAAAGGAGGCACCAAATAGATATGAGCCACAGAAATTATTCGATTTATGTGAGGGCTGGGATACTGCCCTGATGCCCAAACCGAAACAGGTGATTTTCTTAAGGGGCCACACCCAGAACCTTTGACTTGAAGGTCCGATCCATAAGGCAGTGGAGCAAAGTCAGGAAAGGCAGTCCCATGGTAGCCAGTGACCAGCAATTGGTTCATACGCTATTTGTTCCTTCACGATCCTGGAGCCCATGTGTACCATTGGTTTGGAATCAGGATTTTCCAACTCCTCTATGTGGACTCTTCGTGTCCACCAACCGGGCTAAAGCGCCGAACATTCACTTTCCGTCCTCTCAATTTCGTAACCAACACTCCCGCCATGAGAAGTCAGTGAATAGAACTTCTCTGTCAGTGGTTTTATGAACATGGTCATGTTAGAGCATTTCAAGTAGGAGAGCTGACTCTTCTCACTCCTAACCGTACCAACCCGTTTGGGAGCATCTTCATTGAGAATATTCTGTGAATATATAGTCATCTATAAATTATAGTCTCACCATTAACAGAAAAAACAAACAAACAATCAAACAACATTTTTCGTTATGATTTTTCTCTCTATTATAACAATTCACATAAATATTTACTAAGCAAAATAAATTTTGCATAATCATGATCTAAATACAGTAAACGTTTTCTTTTTGCTACAGTCTAATCTCTAGAATTATACAACAGTGTATAATGTTATCATAATAACTTACAATCTTCATATGACAATTTGTTACTAAGCCTAAAATAGGTCAGACAGAGAAGAAAAATATTGTTTCCAAGTGCTTTTATGTCACAGAAAAAAATTGAAATTCTTTAGTGTTTTTTTTCTTTTTCAGAAAAAAATGGTGTATCAACATTTTATGTTTGTAGTCTGTGAGAGTAAAATAATAATTAAAAAACTAGAGGGTGTTGAGTCGGCTTTTCGAGAACTGCAACGGAGCCACCAGAGACCCTAAAGGATCTGAAAAGTCCTAGCCAATCAGAGCATGAGGGAGCTTTCTAGAACGTCAACATGGCTTGCTACTATTAGTCAGTAGCGTAATATGTCTTTTAGCGGATTCGCCAAAATATGATGTTGATTTAACAAATGTTAACATCTATAAACACCCATGTTTTCTGTACAAAAATGAACCTTGGGAGTAAAGTGTTTTCGCTTATTTTGTTCCTTTTCTCTCGAGTTAAGTTCGCTGCGTAGTTATAGCTTACGGGTTGCCAGAACAGCTTAGTAGCTTTGTAGCTTAGGTGGATAATTTTGATAAAGTTTTGTTCTTTGAGCTGGATGGTATGGTCGTGGAGAGATAATCGTTCTTCTGAATAACATCATCAGCACAAATTTCATGTAGAAGTGGAGTGTTCAAATTTCTTCACTTGTGTTTCTTGTTGAATTTAAACCTGTCATTGTTTACTTCTTTGTTTTGGTTGTCATCTCATATGAAGTTGTTGACTTGAATCAGTTTATAAGTGAAATGATATTGTGAGATAAATGATGATCAGAATAAATAGGGTCAACATGGCACGAGAGAGTGCTGGTCGGCGGCCTATGCTCCATTAGGAGTAACAGGCGTAAGTAAGTAAGTAAGTAAATAAGTAAGTGGGGTGAGAGAGAGAGAGGAAAATGTAATTACAATTCAGAAATTACGTAATATGTAGAATAATATGAATTAAAGAATAATAAATAAAACTTTCGTCTAAATTTCATCGAATCGTTTCACAGTATCTAGGCGCCGAGTTGATGTAAGATATTAAAGAGGAAGAATGTTGTATTTGTAAAATCTCAGTGAATGAATTTGAAGTAAATCCAACGTTTTGCCTAACAATGTGGTCCATGCTTTTCCTTGAAAAAACTGAGATTTTACAAATACATTCTTCCCTTATAATATGAATTAGGTCAGATATAGTAGATAGGGATGAATGATAAATAAACTTCTCATAAAGGTTAGCAAGTGTAATGATAATAACAATAATAATAAGTTTGGGACATAAAAATGAACATAAATCAAACCATATTATAAAATTGATTATTAAATAGTTGACCCCGAAGTTGGTCAGGGTAAAAGGATCGGCTGTGAACCAGGTTGCCAGGTTATACTTTGAATTTATTTCAAATTCATTCACTGAGATTTTACAAATACAACATTCTTCCTCTTTAATATCTTACATCAACTCGGCGCCTAGATACTGTGAAACGATTCGATGAAATTTAGACGAAAGTTTTATTTATTATTCTTTAATTCATATTATTCTACATATTACGTAATTTCTGAATTGTAATTACATTTTCCTCTCTCTCTCTCACCCCACTTACTTATTTACTTACTTACTTACTTACGCCTGTTACTCCTAATGGAGCATAGGCCGCCGACCGGCACACTCCAACCCACCCTCTCACGCCATGTTGACCCTATTTATTCTGATCATTATTTATCTCATAATTTCATTTCACTTATAAACTGATTCAAGTCAACAACTTCATATAATTCAACCCCAACAATAATCCTCGATTCACATATTACAATTTTAAATGATGTACTCTACCTTAAATCTGGCCAATTCTATGGATTATTAACTTGGATATAAGTGTAGGACCTGATGAGAAATTATTGAAATTGAATTTAGCCAGTAGTGAAATCGAGAACACGTGTTTCGACTGTGATTGAATTTCAGTTAAAATATCAACAATGAGATCATACAAACCATTACAAATTTAATTATAAATTAAACTTGTTGCACAAGTGACTAGATATCAGGACTCAGCAGCTAAGTAGGTAGCGTGATAGCGTTCGAGTCGAACGGTACTGAATGGAAGTCGCGGAGTGAACATCAACTCTCGAATGAAGATACTTCCAGCCGATGAGCTCTATGTAAAACGAAACGCACGTACTTAATTCCACTGCTATCCATATCCCATATATCCTATACTCCCCAATGTTGTGAAGTGCGGTGTCCGAAATCTGATACTGACACATGGTATGCTACGCGGTACCCCCCCCCCAACTGTCTACCTGAGAGAGAACACAAGGGTAGGCGAGAAAGTATATTGGACTACCGATATATATATCTATATCTATATCGGTCTACCCTTAGGAAATTCACTGATTTTGACTCCAATTAAGTGCACTTGACCTTTATGTCACTTCTACTTGCGATTGATTGACCTTTTTCTACTTCTGATTGGTTCTCCATATCAACTAGTAGTTAAAATCTCTAGTCAAAAGTTGTCAAAGCAACAACACTGAGATTAATTCAATTATTGATAGTATTTTGTGATAAAAGACTGTTCACAGTCAAGGAGTAGTCACGTAGATTGTGAAGGTAAAGTCCAAACTAGTTAGTATCTTTTTGCAATAGATCATAAATCAGGCATTTATGTTTACATCAATAATAAGGCGTTAGTTAAATCTCAGTCAAAAATTACTGTTCATTGAAAATCCTAAATATTAAAGTGATATGCCTTTAGTTTTTCTGTCTTTCAAATACATTCATCACTTTCATATACAAAATCAGCATACCAATTTATATTATCGTGGTCTGGTTAAAGAACGCTGAAGCGTTTACTCTGAAATATAGTTTATTTGAGACCATCTACCGGTAAAATTTTGTAAAGGACAATGGAAGTCCATTACATTCTCTATTCTGTAACATTCAATGGATTTTGGGCATTCAACTTGTACTTTCTTTTTTAATAGTTAAATCCATGAGTCGGTTAAAGCTAGACCACCACAGAAAACCTGGAAGCATTGGATGGCCGTTTCGTCCCAGTATGAGGCTCCTTAGCGATCAGTAACCACGATCCAGCACACGAGACTCGAATTGGGGATCTTCGGTCTCGCATGTGAATGATTAACCCCTAAAACACTGATTCGACATCTAACGGTGTTAATGTCTAAATTCAACCGATCGATTCATGATCTTAACCAATAACTCAACAATCTCCACAAACCCATACTGATAATCAACCATATATTATATTGTTGCCCCGTAGCCCTATTCTTATTCATTCAATTGAATTTACATTTATCTTAATTGTAATTATCAACATAACAAATGATAACATGATATTTATCAAATAGGTTTTGTGGATATTATAGTAGTTTCAATGGTTAAGATCATGAGTTAGTTGAAGCTAGATCACCATATACAACCTGGAAGTACTGGACGGCCGTTTCGCCCTATTGTGGGACTCCTCAGCAGTGCATATCCACGACATCGCCCCCCTGTGGATGTGTCGCTTAATTTCGTGGATTAGTTGAAGTTAGACATTTACACTGTTGGATGCCGGCTCAGTGGTCTAGTGGTTAAGTTCTCGGGCACAAAACCAGTAGGTCCTGGATTCGAATCTCATCGTGGATGTGCACTGATGGGGTGTCCCACGATACGACAAAACGGCCGTCCAGTGCTACCAGGTTTTCCATGGTGGTCTAGCTTCAACTGACTCATGATCTTAACCATTGAAACATAATATTTCACAATTCAAAGTTTATAAATACTATACATTTCTGATTTCTAGCATTCTTGTACATAACTTACTAGTATGTCTTCGATTCTTTATATCAGTTCTATATACTGATTAATCAGTAAAACAAAGAAATGAGTAAGTTAAGCTTTAATAAATGTATAATTTAACATTTACTTATCTTTATTTACATTTTTCTTTCTAGGTTTGAAATTATTGAATGACATATGTATGCTTCGTTCTATGATAGTATTATTCTATCATATATGGATATTTATGAAATTGTTATACATAACTACTTCATATCATTTATCAGATATTGATAATGATCATATTGAATTAACACAATTAATAAGTAATGATAATCAAATACGTATTCGATGCGATGCTAAAAGTCGTAATACAGTTGAAAGTTTAATACTTTTAAGTTGTCCACTTAGTAAAACTGGTGTATGTCGAGAAAATTGTATCAATCCATGTCCAGTAAATGAAAGTAAGTAAACTGGTACTATTATTATATATTATTTGAACACATAAATATTGGTAGAAGAGGGCACCAAATATATATGCGCCACACCATATTTGTGTGTGTGGGGGCTGTGATACTGCCCGGGTGCCCAAATCGAAGCAGGTGGTTTTCTTAGGGGGCCACAACTCGAGCCTTTGACCTAAAGGTCTAACCCACAAGGCAATGGAGCATCGTGAGGAGATGCAGTCCCATGGTAGGCAGTGACCGACGATCGGTTCATACGCCATTTGTTCCCTCAGGATACTGGAGCCCATGTGCACCAGCGGTTTTGGATCCCGTTAAAGCACCGAACATTCGCTTTTCACCCTCTCATTTTCGTAAACAACACCCCAGCCACGAGAATGCAGTGAGTAGGACTTCCCTGGCAGAGGCTGTATACTCGTGGCCGTGTGAGAGCATTTTGAGAGGGAGGGCGGTGCCACCCTACTCTCGGTCATACCAGGGCATTTGGGGGCTATGCTAACACAATATTTCTTTATATAACTAATAAAATACTTGTGTAGTTCGATACATATATATATGTGTAAACGATTTTTTTGTTGACTATTTTAAATATGGATTAGATCTTAATATATTGTCATAGATTAAAAGGTGTTTATTTGAGATGGTTGAGATCATGAGTCAATTGAAGCTAGATCACCATGGAAAACCTGCAATCACTGGGTGGCCGTTTCGTCTTGTTGTGGGACTCCCTAGCAGTGCGACTCACGATCCCCCCGCGAGATTCGAACCCAGGACCTATCAGTCCCGCGCGCAAACGCTTAACCACTAAACCACTGAGCCGGCCGGCATTTGACAGTGTTAATGTCTAACTTCAACTAATCCACGAAATTGAGCGACACATCAACCATTGTCATCAGTGAGTTACTATCTCACAACAGACCTGTTTGAACTCCATTGGTCACTTTAATAAGCTAGTGGTTTTCTTTATAAATCTATTCCAATGATAACTTCACAGAAAACCAAGTAGTAACAGTGATCTATATCTTTTTATTTATGTATGCAAGTTTTGTGTGCCCACTTAAGAGATCACTAAAGTATTAAATCCACTAATGGATCCATTTTACTCCAATAATACTAATGACCGCTTAAACAGTTAGCTCTCCACGGTGCCGACACTTATTAGGCCATGAAAATTTTTTCGCGATCAACTTATCCAATCAGAACACGAGTAGATTAGGTCAGTTTATTTTCTTACATTCATGTATCGAAAGCTTACGTCGCAAAAAGTCTTGAACTATATGACTGTAATACACACAAGTCGAAAACTACAACTTGTGCATAACTCAGTGATTTGTGCTATAACACAGATTAACAGGTATATAATTATTTTCTTGATTGAGATCATGAACCTATTGATGTTAGACCATCATTGAAAACGTTGAAGCACGGGAGGGCTGTCTCGTCCCATTATGGGACTCCTCAAGAGTGCGCATCCTCGATCCCGCCAGTGGGATTCGAACCCAGGATTTCCAGTCTCGCGCGCGAACGCTTAACCTACTGGACCACTGAGCCTGCATCCAATGGTGTTATTGTCGAACCTCAACCAATCCACGAAGTTGTCTGATACATTGGTAAATTTTACCACTATAACTTAATGACGTCTGAGAATCACATAGCTGGTAGGTTTCTTCTTCAATCGGTCTGGTAAAAGATACAACACCACATTTGATTTCATTCCTTCTTGATACATACCTATCACAATGATATAAAAATATCTGTCAAAATGCATTTTCTTTTTGAGGCAATAAAATTTCATTGTGGGTAGGAATTATCTTGAAATTCCTAGGAACAGGACCAAATTACATCTAAACTTATTTAATAGTGCAATTCTCACCCAGTCTTACATTCATAGGGTTACTTCCTAGTTTCATCTAAGAAGATATAGGAGAATCCAATGCAAAAACAGTTAAATATTCAAGACACCTAAACGTCGTTCGAGGTTTGAAGCTTCACAAAAAGTCACTATCTTAAATTCACTTGGTACTGTTTGGCCTATTTCTTCCCATTGAGGTTTTAAGACTGCAATTGATCAGTCTGTTATTGACATATGTGCATACTGTGCGTATGCCTCGACATTGACTTAATTCACATGCTTTTTCTAAGCAATGATGGATAGTGGCTAGCAGTGGAATCCTGGACGCGCATTTCGTCCTAGTCAAGACTCGTCAGCTGGATGTATCTGCATCTCAGAGTTGATGTTCACTCTGGGACTCAAACCTAGTACTATTCACTTCAAACACCATCGCTTTATTCACTCAGCTACTGAGTCCTGATAGCCACTTGCTTGTGCAATGGGGTGAATTTAAATTCACTTGGTATTGTTTGGCTTGTATTTTTCCCATTGATGTTTAGGACAGCAATTGATCAGTCTGTTATTGGCATATATGCATACTGTGCGTATGCATACTGGGTTCGAGTCGCAGAGCGAACATCAAATCTGAGATGCAGGTACATCCAGCTGATGAGTCCTTAAGAGGACGAAACGCGCGTCCTGGATTCCACTGCTAGCCACTATCCAAGCACTATCTTAATTGTCATTCATTCACTCAACACTGTCAGCATAGCATACCTTTTACCATTATGATCCAAGTAAAGCCTAGAGCAAATGTGTATCACCCCAAATCGCCATATCACAAAACCATAACTAGATAGCGTTAGGAAGATGAATAGCAAAGGAGTCATAATAATAATAATAATAATAATAATAATAATAATAATAATAATAATAGTATTAATGATAATGAAAAAGACTGGACACCTAGAACATGATAATAAATACAGTTTTTGTGATGTTCCAATGAGTAGAAAATTGTATTTCTGACGTTAATTGACTTACATGAAGTCACTTCTATAAATAAATAACTAAAATAAAATCAATACAAGTTTACATAGTACAAATGAAGCAATCAAAAACACAATAGGTCTGAACATGTCAATGTCGTGTTATTTTCGGTCAAGGTGATTCTTCTGTGTTACATATAACCGTATAAATTTATGCATCAGATAGTGGGTATGAAAAATATATGAAGTAGTGGAGTTAAAATTGGGTCTCTCTCTCTCTCTATGTGTGTGTGTGTGTGAAGATTGTGTGTCAAATCAATAGGGTCAAATGTGATTATTTGAAAAAAACAGTCTAGGTTGAATAAATAGCCAGGTCTTGATTTTATTTCGGTTATTTAGTTATATACTCTATAGAAGTAACTTAATGTAAGTCACTAAACATAAGATGTACAATGTTCTATTCATTGAGATATTACAAAAATATAGTTACAGTTTACTTTCTACCGAGAATGCTCAATTTAGTTGAAGTTATAAAGTTGAACCTTAGGATTGATATATACAAACTCAGAACGTAGTTTGAGAAAAAAACGAATTAAAATAAGTCAGTTAAAAAGGACAAATAAGTTTAAGATTTATTGTGAATGAATGAATCTGCAAAACTGTCACTGATTCTTAGTCACCCTTAGCCTCCAATAGGACCTCCGTCTGGTAAATCACATTTACAAACACTTTTGAGTGTAACAGTTAATGATTTCATGGGTTGATTATATACCTTCCTTTGACTGTTCCTAACTTCCTTAGAATCTAATCCTACCCCATCCGATATCACTTGTCAATGTAAGTGGTAGCTGGGCATATGTAGCACACAGCCAGAAAACTTTATAGCAACTCATGTTATTTTCAAAAACCATTAAAACGATATCAAAAAGACTGAAATAATACAAAAAGACGAATAGCTGATGCTTTCCATATAATTCTATTGCTCTCAATAGAAAAAAATAGGCCTCAGTATCCAGCCCACTTGGACTATCTATCCAAGCTACCAAGTCTGATTCTATTCACATTTCACATTATTATCGTACATACAAATTAAACTCTAGACTTTCTCACCAATAATGTCACATTTTTTCACCCCCTTAACAAACATCCACTCACACAAATATATGAACATGTCTCATATGAATCACTTTGACTTGGTCAAACCTATTTTGGATTAATCACACACACTATTCTTGGTTTGTTCCTTTGTACTATTTAAACTTGGGTTATTTGTTCTCTGAATGAGTGGCCTACACTAATTCATGAAATGTCAGAAAATGTAACTTTTCTACTCATTATGATATTGCAAATATATTATTATTTGTTTTTTGACTGAAATCGTGAGTCAATTAAAGCTAGACTACCATGGAAAACCTGGTAGCACTGAACGGCCATTTCGTCCTAATATGGAACTCCTCAACATCGCGCATCCACGATCCCGCACCCCGCGGGATTAGAACCCAGGGCCTATCGGCCTCGCGCCAGGCGCTTAACCAACTAGACCACTGAGCTGGTATCCAATGGTGTTAATGTTTAACCTCAACCAATCCACGAAATTGCGCGGCCATCTTCCATTGTACTGAGGTAGACACCTGTTTCTACCCGACACAGATTAGCTCAATTGATTTCAATCAAAAACTTAACAATCTCCAGAACACCTAAACTGATTATTATTTATTTATTTGATAAAGATATGTTGCCTTAAAATTCGATGTAACATCTGAAGCACCTTTCTTCGAAAAAGGTGAAATTATCAGGTTTATTTCTAAACTTGAATACCCTATAATAATCTGAAACTATGTCCAATCATTCATAATTCTTTAGCTTCTTAGTAGTTCCGCTGACCACCATAACTTTAGAAGGTCAAGTTTCTTGGGAATCCTAAGGCAGTGGTTGATTTGAAGTTTAATTAGTCATCCAGGTTAAATCTGACTTTATTAGATGTCTTAAAATCTGTGGAGATTTATATGTTTGTGCGGTTCGCAAAGCAAATATACATATACAAATAATCATATTTTCAGAATAGTGGTTTTGTGGAAACTGTAGTAATTTAATAGTTGAATCCATGAGTCAATTAAAGCTAAACCACCATGAAGAACCTTGGAGCACTGAATGGCCGTTTCGTCATAGTATGAAACTCCTCAGAAGTGTACATTTACGATCCCGCACGCTAGACGGAACAGCCATCCAGTGCTTCCAGTTTTTCTATGGTGATCTAGCTTTAATCGACTCATGAATTCAACTATTAATAATATTTTATAAATTTTTGATTGGCATTTTCTGTGTTAAGCCGATCTTTTCTGAACTGACAATCATTCTGAATAGCTGATGCATTTACTATTTCTGATAGAAATGATTTTTCTTTGGTCATGCTAAAATGCATGAGACTTTTGCAGTATATTGTTGCTCAAAACAGACTGATCACATGATTCCCTTAATAGTTGACTAATACATGCATATCAGTTACTATGATGAAGAAATCTGTTTATTTATTTACCATTTCGACCACATAATATGTATTTATTGTCATGAAGTAATCGGTTTCAGATATTTCTCAAGACTTTTGTCAATATCGACTCACTTAGACTAGGGACCACGTTGTATATTGATCGATAGAACACGATCATTGCTAAAAATGGACTAGAGAAACAGTGGTCACTTCTCAGTAATCAATCAGTTATAAATACTTTAGTCTTCCAAATCAGACACGAACTGCAAAGCTCACTTATAATATCTAATATTGTGACTGGAATCTTGTTAGGACCCGAGAAACATAATGAATGATAACTTTGGGATCCTCTTATGGACCAATACTAAACGTATATTTTTATCGTATAATTGTTAAATAACTAAACTGTTAATATTAATGTTCCTCTTATTATAAGCTTTATTTTGACACATAAATTATTATTACACGTTTTACCATTCTTGAATTATGCACTGTCTATTAGACACTGCCTCCACCATTCACAGCCACATTTGGCCAAATCTTGTACAAATGTTGTTTTCTATTTTATTGGTATGTTATGGTCTGTTTGACTGGTATATAGACAGAGTATGTTTGAAATATAATGATTAATATTACAGAGGCTCGGATTAGTGTTCTGGACTTAACTGGCTGGGCTAGGCGGAAAGCAGGACCAATCGGACTCTAGGCTGCTCGCACGTGTTTTACGAGTCATTGATCCGATCGATAAGTCACTGCTCTCTAATTGGTGGTCACAAGATATAACAAATCTCACAAGAAGAATCAGTTCCCTCAAGGTTCAAGGTACATCTTGGTAATGAATGACAGCTAATGTGAAACATAAGCCAATGTTTTTCCTTCTTCTTTTTCAATCACTTAACATTTAACCTTTTTCAGGATAGCAGTGGCTAAAATAACTAAGTTGATTAGTCTCGTAAAGTGATTCTTCATAATAATGTGCATTCCACCACCAGATTCCTTATGATTACTGATACCCCTTTACTGAAATGTGTTGATTGGTACAAAATGTAAATCCAAAGTTTTTTGTTGATTACTTTCAACTCAACAGTTTTCCATCTTCTCATATGTCTTTAATAATATTCAAAGTTTCAACTTCTGTCTTTTCTTATTCTTATTATAATGATGATAAATAGCATCAACAATTTGTAATGATGCAGTAACATTGGCTATTCCTAAATGCATTTATCGATCTATGTCAAATGATCATATACAAATTGAATATTTAATACATTTAAATGCTATTAATGAGAAAGGACAATGGTGGTGTACATTTCGTGGGAAACGATCTAATTCTATTGAATTAGATTCATATCATATTCGACAAAAATTAACCACTACAAATATGAAAACAGTGAACAAATATGATACAGTTATAGATATTACAACTCCAATAGGTAAGTTCTATTGTTAAACATGTATATTTATTTACTTAACATAATAGGGAATTCTATGAAGGAAATGATGATAAACAGATTAGGAGGCAATGGTTTGTATAAGTTCATATTGTCGTTCGATCGAATTCGTGATTATTAAGTTCACTAATTACGAGTTAGCTTTACAACTATCAGAATAATAACGTTTACTTTGACCAATAATACCGTCGAACAATAACAAGGAATATGAAATTTCAATAGTTGAGATCATGAGTTAATTGAAGCTAGACCACCATGGAAAGCACAGAAGCACTGAACGACCGTTTCGTCCTAGTATGGGACCCCTCAGCAGTTCACATTCACAATCCCGCCCCCTGACCGTGAGATTTGAACCCAGGACGTATCAGTCTCGCAAGCGAACGCTTAACCATTGGAGCAGTGAGCCAGTATCCAACTGTGTTAATGTTTAATTTAACGTGATGGTGTTTGAAATGAACGGTACTGGGTTTGAGTCCCGGAGTGAACATCGAATCTAGGATGAATATATATCCAGCTAACGAGTCTCAAATACGACGAAATGCACGTCCTAGATCCCATTACTAGCCACCATCCATATTTGATAAAAGATATAGTTAATACACAATAGTTCAATACCTGAGAATCAATCCAATATTCCCAACAATATGGTATCTGATATCTTTCTGCAAGGATTCTAGTAACATTCTCAAACATAGTCAAAAGTTAACAATCACGCACTGAACCACGCCGTGACCTTGAGTTTAGTCAAACACTACCTTAATATCGATAGTTCGGCAACATGCAGCAGTAGAGTTAAGTAACCGAAGGTAAGTTTTTAACTAAAGACAAACAATAAAATCCTAGACGAAGAAGATTAAAGGATATAAAGGGCAATTAAAAGAGATCTAAATAAAGGTTAAAATACAAGCCAAGGAGAAGAAACAAATAAATGATAATAAAATGCTGTGGATAGATTTACATTGTGTTCTTTCCATTACACTCTTTGACAAAATGGTTTATGAAGTTTCAAAAATTAGTAACAAAAAAGCAAATCATGTAAATTAACTTGAAAACTTCAAAAAGATTCATAAAGAAATAAGGAATTTAGTTTAATAATTATTCAGTAGAGGATTGTGGAGATTATTAAGTTTTTGATTGAGATCATGAACCGATTAATGTTAGACCACCATTGGCAACCTCGAAGCACTGAACAGCTGTTCCGTCCTATTGTGGGACTCCCCAGTAGTGCACATCCACGAACCCGCTCACAGGACTCGACCCCAGGGGCTTCGGTGTCGGGGAGAGTCAGGTATCTATCTCAGTACAACAAAAGATGGTCGCTCCACTAGTCGAGGTTGATTGAGGTTAGACATTAAAACCGTTGGATGCCTGTTGGCTCAGTGGTCTAGAGATTAAGCGTTCGAGCGCGAGACTGAAGACCCTGGGTTCGAATCTCGCGGGGCGGGATCGTGGATACACACTACCGAGGAGTCCCCCAATACGACGAAACGAACATTCAGTGATTTCAGTTTTTCGATAGTGATCTAATATTAATCGGTTCGTGTTCTCAATCAATCTTCTATTTCATTATATTTTGTTTATTTTTGTTACTTCCAGATATTTCACCTAATCTGATACAACTAATTATTGGACTTGTTGGTGTTTCAATCGCTTTCAATATATTCTTTTTTGTACGATGTTTTACTGTGAAAAATTATTTGAGTAAGTTGATGTACATATTATTGATTGAACAATGATATACAGGATTATTGTGTAAAAATATTAGTTTATAAGACTAAAAATACTCACGACAGACATGTTTTTCTGTTGTTTATCACTGTTGTGAGTTTAACTTGAGTCAATTTCTACCCTATGCCAATTGTTGCGTCCTTGACTGAAAGATTAGAGAGCAGTGTATTATCGATCGGATCAATGACGCGTATAACACGTAAGGACGACCTAGAGTTCTGATTAGTCCTGCTTCCCTGTCTAGACCAGCCAGTTGAGTCCAGAACACAAACAACAGTCTCTGAGATATGAATCATTGTATTTCAGACATACTCTATTTATATACCAACCAAACAGACCACATCGTACCATAAAAATAGAAAACAACATTTGTACAATATTTAACGAATGAAATAAATAACGGCCAATAGGAAATGTCCATTTTACGTCCAAGGACATCATTGATTAAACATGATAATGATTGGCACATTATTCTACATCCATAACAATCACCAACCAAATAAAATTGGGGGAAGTGTTCCACAATTTGGAAATAATTCAACTAGTTCGTTCCGCAAATATTATAACCAGTTTTTGCTCAACTACAATCCACCCAACTCATTCACTGACATTTCCTGATTCAAATATTAATTTAACATTTTGCCCGTACTTTTACAAACTGATGTTAGTGGGTCAAAGGGCATCGCCAGGAAGCTCTGGTTGGCATAAGTTTTATACTGGTAGGTACTTGTCAGCAATATAGAATTGGAGGTAAGTTTGGATTTCGCTGGAAATGTTAGTTTATAAGACTAAAAATACTCACGACAGATTTGTTTTTCTGTTGTTTATCACCAACCAAATAAACTTGGGAGAAGTGTTCCACAATTTGGTAGTAATTCAATTAGTTCTTAGATTGAATTAAGTACTAGAGAATTAGGTGAGAATATAATTTATGAACGACATATGAGAGATGCTAAAATGACCTTGAACATGCCCACCTACTTACTAGTGTTAAATGAGGGTTATAAGCCGATGTGAGGAATTATAATTATGATTTACAGTCGATGGTTAGGGTAATGAACTAGATTTGGAGTTTTCGTCATGAAATGACATCAGCTAAAATGCTAAAAAACACTATTTAGCCAAATGAATGAATGAATTTCACACCGAAATCCACGACTTGTTACCGTAAATATGATTGGTTTCATAGAGAAACCCCGGGTCCAGGGTTTCCTGTTGACTACCTCCAACCACCATCTAAATCTCAATACATAGTGCCCACAGTGTCGAGTCACCTAGACTGGTGGCCACATTGCAACATGATCGATAGCATTCCATCTGCACTAATAAGGACTAGACAAGCATGACATTGATCACCACCCAGTGATCAATCAATTGTGATTACATCTCAGTCCTACAGGAGGTTAGTCACGGCTCGGATTGCTCAGTGGTAACGTCTCTGACTGTGAAGCTGGGCGACACGAGATCGAATCCGCCAGGGAGCACCAGTTCCCTCAAGATTACAGGTACACCTTGCTGACGAGTGCCAAGTAGCACGAAACCCGGGTCCAGGGTTTCCTGTTGACTACCTCCAACCACCATCTAAATCGAAATACAATATTGTTTATCACTCATCTATCAACTACTATCGTTGAGATCGTTTTTGTTTTTGCCTTTTTTTTCAAGAAAATCTTCATATCGGTCATTCAAGAAATAATTGTCTTGATCAACTACTCTGTATAGATCAACCAAGAAAATTATCACCAAAAACAAGACTAAATTATATTCAACATGTTAGTCCATCGGAAACGCCAAAACTCACAGTGAAATTATCTACCACAGTAACTACAACAATCTCAACTACAAATGAACAATGGACTGAACCAATCAACCTGATGACAATGATACATAATAATCATTCACCATTTGTTTATCATAAATCAAATTCTATTCCATCATCACCTACTACTAATTATCCTATTCTACATCAAAATCCATTACAATATACGCAACAATATTCAGGTTTACCACAAAATTCATTTTATTCCAAGTATCCAATGCATAATTCATTCATTAATCCTAATCCTAATAATAATGGTTCATCAATGGAATTTATTTACGATGAAGTTCATAATTCAATTTATACAACAACCAATAGTCAACCAAGTGATCATGAGAAAAGAAAAGACACTACAGTAAATACTTTTCTTGTTTAGTTTCCTAATTCCCTGATTACAATTGACTGTATGTTACGATGTAACAATAATGATTGGACTATTTATTATAGAGTAATCAATTCACAGCTCAGTATGGTTGTAGGTCATCACTTTAGCGGTAAATAAGAAACTCAATACTGGTTAAGTTAGATGAATTAATTTCAGACAAGCAATAAAAATGAAAATTAGGAAAGCGATAACGAACAAGGTAAATATCCTAAATCATTTTGATAAAGCATAACCAGATGAAACTAAGTTAAAAATAGATGATGGATGAATAGGTTAAGCAATGGATACAAGTATGTTCACATTAAAAAAACAGTCAAGGTTGCCTAGTGAATAACTGAGACAGTTAAAATATGACTCAAGAAGAATAAATAAATTGGTCTGTCTGGAGGCTAGAATTACCCATGTGGGTTTGACAGAGTACTAGTGATAAATCTTCTGATTGTACGCTTGAATCGGTTGACTAAGCTCTTCTAATTGCGTCAGGCTAACTCTACACCATAACTTTAACATGACAGGAAAGATATGGAATATGGAACGAACACTTTACTCCAAAGGTTAGATTTTGTAAAGAAAAACGAGGGTATTTATAGTGTTTCAGATGTTCTTAGGTTTTTTGAACGTTCTGGAATCCTACAAAACATAGTAACAGGACAAGCAATCATCCAATCAGAAATGTAACAGCCTACTTTTCACTTTCTAGATATTTCCGAGATACTTCTATTCAATGCTGATTGGATGAAATGTTTCCAAGTGTTTTCAAAACCGCTTCATGTGTTTTTGTCGAGGAATATTCTAGGTCTCTCCAACAACTAGACACTACCATATGCTAGGATGTAACAAATTCTGCTTCAATCATATTTATCTGTTTCATGTATATATCCCGATGAAATAATACCCTGATTGTTTTTCCAAAGAAAATAGATAATTAGGGAAATATACCAATGATCAGTGTAGTTGCGGTTATAAGTTTTTGAAGTAATTTTAATAGTGATAGGTTGTCAGAACTTTTTTAAAACGCAAAGTCAGTCAGTCATCATCAACGTAGAACATTGTACGTACGTACAGCAGTTCGAGTTACCATACCACATTAGCACAGAGATGCAGTTGTCATTTCAAATCCCGTAGTGGTAGAGGTAGTAAAAGTATAAACAGTAATCGGAAACATTACGGTTTGAAGATGTTATCCAAGGAGTATAATCCAGTGAAATAAATTTGGAAAGAGAAAAGAAGGAACATGAAGAATTCAGAAGATTAGAATTAGGGAGAACACAAAAAGTGAATGCACCTGCACCATTGCAAACGATTTTGAGTCATGTCATTCAAGATCTATAACAATCGATTGCCATCATCTCGCTGATCCCAACCAGATAGTCGACATCTACCAACATGGCTCAGTCCACTTTAATGTAATTGTTAATTAATTAATTAATTTTAATAACTAATTTGTAGAAATATTTATTCTTGTAAAAAAAACTATTGAGAATCTTTGCTTGATTAGAGAATTAATCAGCCCATAATTTAATTGGGGTCCTAATAAAGTAATATTGTAGTGAACAAGAACACGAGTGGGGAAATACATTCTATACCTGACCACTGTTATATACTACTTATGTGGATATAACTAACCCATACCACAATATTAACTAAGTAATTTCACTTAGAGATAACAATAAAACTATACCTATACAAAACATTTTCGTAGTTGAAACTGAATAAATGGTTTCAATGTTTCACTTATTAAAGTCAACTTGAATACATAGTGCAAAGACCTTCCCAGTTTAGAGAATAAGCCGAAGATACCTTGGCCAAGCTAAGTAGATAATAATCAATATAGGGTGGTAGAGATTGGTAAGTTTTTGATTGAGATCATAAACCGATTGATGTAAGACCACTAGTGAAAACTTGGAAGCACTGGACGACTCTTTCGTCCTATTTTGGGACTGTTTACCAGTAAGCATCCACGATCCCGCCCGCGGGATTCCAACCCAAAATATATCGGTTTCGTGAGCGAACGCCTAACCTCTAGACCACTGAGCCGAAATCCAACAGTGTTAATGTCTAACCTCAACCAACTTCGACTAGTGGAGCTAAACTGTGTCAGATATATACCTCAGTACAATGGTGGATGTGTCGCTCAATTTCGTGTATCGGTTGAAGTTAGACATTAACACCTTTGGGTGACGGTCGGCTAGGTGGTCTATTGGTAAAGAGCTCGTAAACGAGACTGTTAAGTCCTGGGTTCAAATCTCGCGATGCGGGATCGTCGGTGCGCACTACCACAGAGTCCTACAATAGAACGAGACGACCATCCAGTGCTTCCAAGTTTTCCATGGTGATCTAGCTTCAATGGACTCATGATCTAAACTATTGAAATTTTATTTTCTCTTCATACAATATACTTTTATTTTTTTAAAATTTTATTTATAAGAAGTTTCAGAAATTTCCTAATAATACAGTTCGAACTGTATATGATATTGGTGATTGGCTTGTAGATAAATCTGGTCAAATTTATATTCCATATGCACAAATTACACCAAAACCTCAAAGAATTATATTAAATAATTTTGATTATTCAACATTAAGAAAAAATGATTTTTTTAAAAATTCTCCCTTATTAAATACAATTATAAATAATCAACAACAAGAGCAACAACACCAACAAGAACGACAACAGCAACATCAACAGGAACAACAACAGCACCATCAACAAGAACAGCAACAGCACCACCAACAAGAACAGAAACAGCAGCAACAACAACCATATTCATCAACAATTCCAATACAAACCAGAGATCCAAATTCGATCAATAATAATAATAATAATAATAATCCGATGATCAGTTCTACTCTTAGTTTACCATTGGTTCCAGTTAATATCACAAAGGATGTATCATTCACTAATGAACAATTATTTATTCAAAATATTCCAATTGAAGTCAATGAATTAGATAATGTTATTGAACAAAATGTAAATTAAATGAATTACTTATGATAGTTTTATTGAAGAATTTCTATTTTTAACAATGTGTTATTGTCATTAATAATAGCTGTATATATTTATTATATCCTATTGAGTAGAAAAATTATATTTCTGATGATGTTTCGTCACTTAATATATGTTACCTCTTCAGAGTAAATAAATAACCGAAATTAAATTAATATACGTTTAAATAGTACAAAGGAAAGCAATACAGATCATAATTTATGGATAACCTTTGAGTGATGCCAAATTGATCTTGGGAGTGTCTATCTACTTATTTGGGCAAAACGAAGGTTATAAAATAATTTGAAAAATAAGGATTATGATTCACAGTTGATAGTTAGAGTTAGGAATTTGGTTTACGGTTTTTTTATCACTAACTGACATGAGCTAAAACGACAAAACGTTATTCGTGGATTGGTTGAAGTTAGATATTAACACCACAGGATGCCGGCTCGCTGGTCAAGATGGTTAAGCGCCTGGCGTGGGACTGATAGGTTATGGGCTCGAACCTTGCGGGGTCGTGGGTGCGCACTGCCGAGGGGTCCCGCACTGGGACGAAACGGCCAGCTGTACAGTGCCCCCAGGTTTTCTATGGTGGCCTAGCTTCAATTGGCTCATGATTTCAATCAGTGAAATTTCTAAAATCTCCACAAAACCCCTTCTGATAAAATGTTATTTAACCAAATGGATGAATGTATTTCGCACCAAAATCTATGACCTAATATTCTTAAATCTGATTGATTCGTCTATAAATTATAATCTCACTATAGTTTACATTAAGTTATAAAATGTCAGAACATCATAAAAAGAATGTTTCTTATAAACTTGCTACCTAATGTTCAATTTATTTGAAACTGTCAAGTTCAACCATAGCATTATTACATAAACAAACATGTTACTGTGTTCATTAGGAGATATTTGTTAGTAACTATGCAGTTTATTTTATTTATATGAATTTTGAAATATTTTTTAAGAAATGAGATTATGAACATCAATGAAGATGACTTAGAATACATGATTATTCTTTCTAGATGTAGAGATCATCTGAATCGTAATAAATACTTTTAATTAAGGGATCTATCTTCCATGAATTTACCAAATCAATTGCATAAAATTACGTTACATCAATAACATTTACCTTCAAAATGGAGGTAGTCTGTAATTTAATACATTTCTTGATTATCTTATATAGATGCTTTTCATATCATTAAGTAATTTCAATGGTTAAGATCATGAGTCACTTAAAGCTAGATCACCATGGAAAATCTGGAAGCACTGGACGGCCGTTTCGTCCTATTATGGGACTTTTCTGCAGTGCGCTTCAAGAAGTATATCCTGGAGTTCTAGTGAGAAGTAGTGACCAGTGGAGTTCAACTGTGTCATCTATGAGATAGTAACTCACTGAAGACAATGGTGAATGTGTCGCTCAATTTCGTGGATTAGTTGAAATTAGACCTGGGTTCGGACCTCTCAGAGGGCGAGGTCGTGGACGCACACTTGGAAACCTCATGGCCAAAGGAGGAGAATAGGAATACCAAAGAACACATTACGTCGAGAAATGAAGACAGACATGAGAAAAATAAACAAAATTTGGATAAACCTGAAAAGGAAGGCCGAGTACAGAGTGTGTTGGAGAATGGTGGTTGGTGGCCTATACTCCATTAGGAATAACCGACGTAATTAAGTAATTCAATATGAATACTGTCAAATGTAACATTTCAATATGTCACTTTATTTTCATGTCTATTTTTTTCTTCTTCTTCTTCTAATTATTTCTAGGCTAATTTATCAATCAATAAAAACAATAAACAATCAATCAACCAAATCGATTTATTCAACCCACAAGTGTCAGATCCATTAAATACTCATCAAAATATTGATCAAAAATTCATTACTAATAATATCAATACAACAATTGAATGGAAACCTTCAATTAAATTACTTTCACATAAAACTACTAAACAATTAAACGGGAATTCTACACATAAAATAAATGAAAATCATAAGATTGCTGATTTAGAGGATTGGTCTATGATAGATCAAGATTAATTAATTTTTAAGAAAAAATAATGATAAATATTACTGAAATGTTTCTTCTTTTTTATTTAGTTGACATTATATTACTTTATTATAAATAGTAGTCAATTCTATAAATTGCAAAAAGTTTAGAAGTAATAAATTAAATTGTTTGTTTTTTTTTGTCAATTAAAATAATCCATAGTGTGATTGAATAAGAAAAAGAGAATTCAGTGAAGAAAATCTTTCTCTTTTCGACGAAATCATTTACTTAAGCTGTACATTCGTATATATAGTTATATGGAAAATGTATGTATGTCTATAGAAGGATAGAATGGATTGTATCACAAAAATGGATTCGACAATAAATAACAAATGAGGTTAACGTACTAATCAAGCGGTAAGGAAGAACAAAATAAAACAATCGGCCAGCTGATTGTTTCATGGCGAACCTAGAAAATTCGGTACTTCGACCAATAATTGAAAGATTTCATTCATATAAAAGATATATAGATGACACTTTCATTATTTGCGAAGAAGATAGTGAATTCGATGATATTTTGAATATTTTCAATAACTGCCACTCATTAATCCAATTCACCTTAAAAGCAGAGATAAACCACGAATTTCATTTTTTTGATATCCATTTAAAAAGAATGCCTGACGGTTGGACAATACACGAACTTCCACAGTTGGGTTCCATTAATTAGAAAAAGTAATTTAATTCATTCTTTATCCTCAAGGATCAGGCGAATTTGTTCCAATGACACAATAGATGGGGAACTATTTTATCTTCGACAGACCCTCATCAAAAATGGTTATCCACCGAAATCCATCTATAGAAACTTGGTACCTAGACCTCATGACAACGCATTGACAGTAGAGAAAAAAACTCTATTTATGAATATGGAATTTAAGGGAGATACGGCTGCTGAAATCCTAAATAAACGGATTTCGAAATCATTGAATTAAACATTCCACGCAGCTAAGCTTCAAATCATCTTCTCTAGCCAATCTACCAATCTGGGGTGTGTTAAGGACAAACTTTCGCTTTGGGCCACTTCAATGTGTAACTAGAAATTTACTTGCTCATGTGGGGCATGTTACATAGGCCGCACAAAGCGATCATTATCCAAACGCATCTCGGAACATTATCCGGCTTGGCTCTTGTAAGGGGTGCGAAAAAACAATCACGAGTTCTATACAGGAGCGCTTAATCAACTGTGGACATATCGCTCCAAAAGACTCTTCGTTTAAAATAGTTTACAGAGTCAAAGGAACTGGATCGAAGGGGGTTCGAATCAATATTTTATGCACCGCAGAGTCATTGGCAATCCACAAACTAAAGCCTGAACTTTGCGTATAGAAACGATTTGTCCAACCTCTCATCCTTCCCTAGCCCTAATTCCCTTAATGTTTCTAGGTGTTTTATTAATGCACTTTTATTATTATCTATATTTTTAAGTTACTATTTTGCACCTTAAACTCTAGTCATTTATTATTACCTTATACAAGTTTTCTTGATTATCATTCAGTTTATTATTATGACCTTTGTTGTTTTGTCGTTTTTCTTCATATCTGTCAATTGGACTATTCTCTGACCTATAAATTTTGTTCTTCCTTACCCCTGGATTAGTTCGTTAACCTCATTTGTTATTTATTGTCGAATCCATTTTATTTTTGTAATCTGACTTATTCATAATAACAATACCAGATCCTTTATCGGGTTTAAGTATAATAATATCGGCATTATTTCGCAATTCTTTTAATGATTTGAAGTGCTGAGAAGTTAATATGCTTCTCTGCTTTGGTCCGAAAAACCTTCCACTGACTTTTCCTGTTAAAACTCTAAAAGATTTATTATTATTATTATGTACAGATAATATAAAATTCATATTTGAAGGTGAACACTTCAGACAAATAGATGGTGTAGCTATGAGCAGCCCTCTAGGATCATTGCTGGCTGATGTGTTCATGGGATATGTGGAAAATTTAGTTGGAGACTCAATTCGAAAGATGGGTCTGTATAAACGATATGTGGATGACATAATAATCATAGGTGATAAAATTGAAGACATAAACTGCTTGTTAGAAGAAATCAATAGTAGTCAAAAGCACATTTCTCTTACATGTGAAGAAGAGAAGAACAACCAACTACCTTTTCTTGACATCCTGATTACTAGGAGAGATGATGGTTCCATCAAACGTGCTATATATAGAAAACCAACATGGACAGGCCAATATCATAATTTTCATAGTCACTGCCCTATTCATTATAAACGCGGTTTAATAAAGAGCTTATTCAATAGAATCAATCGTATTTGTACTAGTGATACTACTGATGCGTTAATCAATAATGGTTACTCTTTGAAGTTCATAAACTGCTGGAGGGGTTGCAATATGACTAGACCTATGACGCTTCTGGCACCCAAAAAGCGAGTTTATATTACGTTACCATTCAGAGGTGACACAAATAGTCCCATGTTGAAACAGAGACTAAAATTAGCTATCAATCTTCCCATTTTACCACAGACTGGTGCTATATATACAAAATAATTATCTTCAATCACTTCTCTTTCCGTCGCCAACCCTAGGGTTAATGAAATCAATATTAATCTTAGCTATTGAGTGGCTTATTTTGATTAACGTACTTACAACATTTCTTAGTGTTGGGGTGACCCAGAAAATTTCTCTCAAAGGTCAAGCAAGGATCAGGAAAACACTAAGAAGCGTTCCTCCAATCAGCATTCACTTGTAGTTCTAACCAGAAATATCAAGGGGGGCGAAACGTCACATGGCTGATTTTAACATTGCTACTATGTTTAGTAACATTCCAGAATCTTCTAGCAACCTAAGGACAATTAAAATATTATAAAAACCCCGTATTTTCTGTATTGAAATGAACCTTGAAGTAAAGTACTTCTCGCATACTTTGCCTCTTCTCTCTCGTTGTTCAGGTCACTGTATAGTTCTAGCTTGGAGGTTTCAAAATAGCTCAGGAAACGAATATAGCGTTCAATTCGCAAGACTTATCACTTAGCTTAACGTAATTGTCTTTGTTGTCTTTAATCATACGGTTGTGTATTATTATTATTGTTTCATACATCCTGATCCCATGATACATTTAAATAAAGCGAGAAGAATAGTATTAGCAGAATAAAAGGAATGGATTACATTTCAAGGCTTCTCATCTGTTGTAAATGACATAAATTTACAATACAAATAATACTATTAAAAATTGTTATTACATAACATAATCAATGGAGTTTAGTTTGAAACGATTTAAGAAACAAGAGGAAGTAGTTTGTCACACCATTCACATCTAACTCGAGTAGGCGTCCAATCATCTCGACATAGATCATCTGCGTTGGTGATCTACAAGTATTTATATGAAATGAAAAAGGGAGAAGGGGTTAAATCCGTAAGTAAGGGACAACGGAATGACCGAGAAAACCATACTCAGAAAAGAAACATGAATAGGGCGATATTTAAGTTATAATAGTTACTGTCCTATTAGTTATAAACGTTGTTTAGTAAAAATCCTACTTAATAGGGTTAGGAAGTTGTGTTCCACCTACAAAATACAAGAAGAAATGGCATACACTAAAGAGTGCCTTATAAAGAATGGATATTCAAAGAAGTTTATCATGGAATACGAAAAACGATTGCAGAAAGTCCTAAATAAACAATAGTTGACAGAAAACTTGTCTTTGTCCGTCTTGCATTTAAAGGTGAAGAGGTTTCAAGAAGGATAGACAATAGGATTAAAGTAACGCTAAACAATATCTTCGCTAAAGCTCAACTATTTTCAGTTAATGATGAAAGATGTTTCTTAAATCAGTCAAATGTAGATCAATACCCTTATGAGGTCGCTTACAATGTATTTACGAAGTTTCATGTACTTGTGAAAGCAAGCACATAGGAAGGACTGAAAAATAGGCATCTACAAAGTTTCCGAACTATATTCCCTCGTAAGTTGGGCCTAAAAGGAAGTAAAGTATGATTACTAAACTTTTGATGGATAGTGGACAAAACATTGATACCTCAAAAGCATCCATTTTTCAGAGGACATTACCACTTATCATTGCCATGGTGAGATAGTTATATTTTTTTAACTCAACCCAAAAAAATCCCATTGACATTCATTCAAAACATTGACTTTAATTTCATGATAAAGAGGTGACTTGATTATCATTCATTTATCAACAAATTGTTTTCAGTCATTTTCTGTTCATTATCACTTACATCTTTAACCTCTTCTCCATTTTCCATGATTTCGTGTTCAATACTAATTAATCTTAACTTCTATATTTAATATTTTACTTTCTGAAGGGGTTTTGTGGAGATTGTAGTAATTTCAATAGTTGAGATCATAAGTCAATTGATGCTAGACCCCACATGGTAAACCTGGAAACACTAGACGGCCGTTCCATCCTATTGTATGACTCTTCAGCAGTGCACATCCACGACCCCGCCTTGTAGGATTGTAGGTCACTAGTGACTGGCTTCAAGAGGTATATCCTGGAATTTCAGTGAGGAGCAGTGACCAATGGAGTTCAACTGGGTCTGTTGTGAGATAATAACTCACTGATGACAATAGTGGATGTTACTTTCTCTTGTTTCTTAAGTCGTTTCGAACGAGACTCTATTGATTATGTTATGTAACAACTTTTTTTAATGATAATATTTCTTATATGTGAAAATTATATTTGAACTAATCTCAGCGATTGAAACAAATAAAAAAATAATTCCAGTGTTTCGTCCATCAAACTTGTCTGAACTTCTTTAGGATAATAATCAAAATCATCGAATAACGATGATATAGCGTTTTAACAATTAAATCTATACTGTGCTAATCCAATCATATTTGGGTGTAAAGAGGATAGCAAGAAATATAACATGAATCATGTGAAAAGTTCACAATGTGAAAATAAATGACTGAACGAATTGTGTGTGTGTGTACGTATGTATGTGTAAGATTGAGTTATTAATGAATGAATATGTTTTTATATGAGAGAAAAATAAAAGTGCAAGTTGAAGGTTAAATATTGTTCCTGAATCATTGATATGCATGTAAAATAAGAATCATCAAATACAGACTGATAGGTCCTGGGTTCGAATCTTGCGAAGCAAGATAGTGGATGCGCACTTCTGAGGAGTCCCACAGTAAGACGAAACGGCAGTCCAGTGCTTCCAGGTTTTCCATGGTAGTCTAGCTTCAACTGACTCATGAATT